CCCCCCCCCCCCCCCCCCCCCTTCTCACTGTGATCCGTCAAAGTCAACAGTCTGAGAGCCTCACAGTGATTCTAGAGCTCTAACACAACTCGGCCCGGCCGTGCCAAAACATGCTGAGGAAACGCGCACCGTAAACAAAGCATGAGCTGAAGAAGAAAATTACTGAATGTAGAGCGGCGAAAACCCCCTGTCCGTGTGAGTCTGTAAGCCCTTTTTATGTGAGAGGCTGCCGCAGATCCTTCAGAGAGGAAGAATTCTTTTTTTTTTCTGTCAGCTGGAGGTGTGGTTTGAAAACATGATGCTTAACTTAATGAGATGCGTGGGGTGGAAGACAGCTTTTCACCATAAAAACACTTTAAGAGCGTTGGCATTTCGATTTGGCAGATTAGAGATAGTGACGTGCCCTTGACATTTTCTGTATTACACACAAGTGCTGACTGGAAACCTGACGTTCAAGGTTTTCCCAGGTCTTGTGAAATTCCTCAGGTGGCTGTCGATGCTCAACCATCATCTCTGCACATGTCTAGCTTTATTCTTGGGTAAGGTGACGATAACATCTTTAGGGACAATATCAACTATGTTGTAGATTCAGACGGGGGGGGGGGGGGACACTTTCCTTACGTCTAACTGTTCTGGGGAATAGCGCTGTTCGATCACACCCTGTGGGCATGAATGATGGTAGAATGACGTGATTGAAGTCATTTTGTCCTCGACCACGTCCTCTTTCAAAGCAGATTGGCAAACAAGGGCGAAGTGATGTCTCAACCCACCTCGGTGTTTGTCGGTTTCTCTAGTTTGTCGTTAAAAAAGCCTTTTACACCTTTGCCAAGCAAGTTTTATTCATACAGCCCAATATCACAAATTTGCCTCAAGGGGCTTTACGTTCTGCACATTATTTGACACCTTCTGTCCTGAGCAACCCTCACTTCAGAAAGCATAGCCTTGCTAAAAAACAACAGAATAATCCTTTTAACAGGGAAGAGGAGACGAGGTCTCTCTCTCTCTCTCTCTCTCTCTCTCTCTCTCTCTCTCTCTCTCTCCCTGGATGGACGTGCAATAGATGCCATGTGTACAGAATAGACTTACATCATAAAATTACAGTACAGACTATACAAGTGACAAAAATGAATACGTACAAGGTGAAGAAAATGGATCCGGGAGGATGTCAAACAGCTTCCACTGTTCTCTTGTTCTCTGATCTCTTCATGAGCTCTTCTGATCTTTTTCCATTGAAGTCAAATATGAACTGCTTTCACCTAAAAAAAAAAGCTACATACTATAATGCGTTAAAACTTTGACATGAAGTGCCGTAAAGCCATGCACTTACAATGAGACTTCACTTTCATAAAAGGTAAGTCTGCTGAAAGCGAAGGTCCGGGACAGACTGAGACAGAGCATGACAAGGTGTTATGCCTTTGTCACGCTCTGTCCCAGACGTGATGCACATTTGCACAAAAAGAGCAATGTCGCAACAGAACACATGTCCAAACACGGCGAGTGCATTGAGATATTTGGTCTGTTGCACCCCCGACCACAACAGTGCATCCTTTAATAGCCATTGCAACATTTGCTTTTCTCCCACGGAAATGTTGTTTACCGTTCCTCCCTTGAAATGACGGAATGATTCCAGTTGACATGATCCTGAAAACCCCTTTTAAAAGGTAGATACAAGAAACAATATAAAACAGTCCAAAGCATTAAGATAACACAGGATAGACTTCTGTGCATGGCAAGGAAAGTGTTACAGCAGCAAAAGGAAGTACAAAGACACGCAAGGTGACCTAAATAATGAGTGACCTAAAAAAAACCAATGTGTCATCTGATAATTGAAGACGTGCGCTCTTTTGTGGATCCATCTGCTTCACAAAAACACATCAACAGTTGGTTAATAAAATAAAAAATCAATAAAATAAAAACACGTCTATTAAGTTGTGGGGATTTGTTTATTTGGTGGGCGTGGCGCAAACTAATTATAATTTCATAATAATTCTCATCCATGTCATGTTATTTAGAACAGAACATGTTAAATGACCTACCAAATGCAAATAACATCAGCTGTGAGCTTTTAAAATAATGCTTACATTCCAGAGCATCTAGATACGCTGCTTTGTGGCATGAAATATGCTTTACATATTGCTCACAATATTACACAAGCTGTGTGCTTGCGCAACAGGGTGCCGAAAGACTGATTGGTCCATGTTGACAGGAGAACCGTGCAGGCTCATCCAATGTATCACGCGTTACGTGTACGTGCATAACATGCACACAGAGCTATCAGTGCCCCATATCAATGAGGGAAAAAAAGAGGCCTACAAGAACTTTATCTCTTCTTCCTGTATGCCTCTGTGCTTTCCTGCGCTTTTTTTTTCTTTTTTATTCATAGCACCAGTAATGATGGCAACAATATACAGACACTCGGTTGTTTACTTTGTCTGCACTTAAGAGCACGGTGTTCTGGAAGACACGTCTCTTAGATTTATTATAATCAGTATGAGCGTGAATGCCGAGAAGCATTTTCTTGGCCAGTGGTTTGGACTTCGCTTGTGTTTCCTCCCACACACACACACACACACACACACACACACACACGTACCATCTCTTAGACATTTCATTTCTTATTTCACATTCTAATCTGCTTCGTTCTCTCTGTTTATCTCCTGTCTCCGTCTCCCTTACAGATCAGATGTTTCCTGCCTTTGTACCGTTGCGGTGGATCAGCTTGCAGCCCGTACTGATCTCTGAGAAGGTAGGTACTTTACAGCCGCTAAGGTACTTCATTTGAGCAGTTGATCAGGACTCATTTGTATATCAACTTTCTACGTTTTACTGAAAATCGGTTGGAAGGAAAGTTAGGTCCAAACAACCATTTTTAAGCCATATGCTAATGAGCTTTGAGACATTTTTGAGTGAATGTGCATGTGAAGCGAGCTGTTTTATTTTAATTTATATATATATATATA